ATTGATCGTGGTGCACATTTATTATACATCATGTCTAAAACATATTATGATGTCAGCTCCCAATACATGATGAGTCAGATTGCAGGAATTTCTAGACTTATATTAACTCAAATCAATCAAGAACGTGAAAGTCTTATGAAACGAATTGCTCAAGATACATTATCGACATCAGCGAAAGTTTCTCGTATGGTATTGGAACGACGACAACAATATGAGCAGCGCAATCAAGAAAGACAAGAAGTATACGAAAGATTTATTCAACAAGCAACATTAGAAGAATTACAATCATCTATTGGAAAATAATCATTTCATTTGCGAAAAAATTTTCGGATAAATAGAGAGACATTGTATTGCAATAAAATATTAATAATAAACTTTTAAAGTATTCAAAAGTTGCGAACACTTTCCAGTCGAGAATGAAACTAACGATTCAGTGTCAAAGATTTTTTTTGTGTAAAATTTCAAGTCGAAACTCGCAATCCGATTTTTCAGGTCACTTGAGAGGGAGCTCAACTATTTGTCGAGAAATAATGCAAAGTGAAACATGAGTTCGATCAAAAAAGGATTTAAATTCTTGATAAATTCTCTTATCAGTTAGACTTTTACTTCCGGAAAATATCGTACAGAGGAGTTTGGGTGTGACTGGGTGTAGGTATCGATGGAGATGAAGTGAAGAAGTACACTCACACCCACACCCTAAACATACCTGAAGATGATCTTGGAAAATCGAGACTTGTCGTATGAGTTCCATGGAAAATTTCACATCGGAATTATATAAACATACCTACACTCACCCTGTATCTGCGTATCTACACTTACATCCACAGCCGCACCAACATCCATTAGCAACAAATACACCAATAAATTAAGGTAACAATAATTTCTTCACTCTAAAGGCCCAAAAACTTTTCTTCTAAAGACAATCTCGTTAACCTTTAATCATCAATTGGAAAGCGTCGTGTTATGCTTTCAATCTTTTTTCTGTTGAATCTCTTTTAATAGAGTAAGACTTGTTATGACTTGTTATAATAATCATAATTACATCAATTATTGGTAGAGTTTTGATTATGATATAACTCTATGTAAACAGATTTCTACATACCTGATGAATCCCTTAAGCAAGAACGAAACATGTTGTGTGATGCTTTCAATCTGTTTTCTATTTAATTCATCATATGATTCTACTATATCCTAGTGATTTCTATATCTTATGGTAACAAATGTAGATATTTAATTTGGATTTATTAATTTAAATTGATCTTTTAAACTATTTGATAGAACTTTTAAGCAAAGTCGGAACTGGTCATGGTAGCTTATCTCTCCCCCACCTTCACTTAGTCGTCAGCTGGGTTGAAATCGCGATCATGGCAGCTCATACTCACTCTTAAGGTCGATCTTTTTTCGATTGATATAATTGCAGGTTTATGGCTATCTCTTAGCTGATGGTGTGATCGTAATGCACTTGTCTTTCTTCAGACAATCATTGTGATGATGACTCATTGGTTTCCTTGGATGGAAACTTACATCGACATCATCCATCAACAAGATGCTAAAAATTGTATCTCCATTCAGAAAGGTATTTATTTCTGTAAGAATAGTCAAGAAATTTATTAATTAAGTGACACAAGGACAATCTGATTTTGTTAAAGGATGTAAACATATTTTAGTAAAATTCTAAGTCCACTACTTCAGTGTTACTGCATCAATAGAGTTCAATGTGCGTGTCAGTTACAAGCAGCTAAGAGGACACTGACGTTGTTTGAACCGCTGTTTGAGACAATAATATCGATTTTGCTGTCTCCATTGACATCGGCTGCTGCTACAAAATACGGGCTAATGCCAATTGAATAGGTCACTTGAGCAGCGAACGTGTCATTGCCATTGTTGAGGAGAACACCGACGTTGTTTGAACCGCGGTTTGCGACAATAATATCCAGTTTGCTGTCCCCATTGGCATCGGCTGCTACCACAGAAAACGGCTGAGTGCTAGTTGAATAGGTCACTTGAGGAGCAAACGTGCCATTGCCATTGTTGAGGAGAACACCGACGTTGTTTGAACCAGCGTTTGCGACAACAATATCGAGTTTGCTGTCTCCATTGACATCGACTGCTGCCACAGAAGTCGGCTGAGTGCCACTTGAATAGGTCACTTGAGTAGCAAACGTGCCATTACCATTGTTGAGGAGAACACCGACGTTGTTTGAACCGTAGTTTGAGACAATAATATCGAGTTTGCTGTCTCCATCAACATCGGCTGCTGTCGCAAAATACGGGTTAATGCCAATTGAATAGGTCACTTGAGCAGCGAACGTGCCGTTGCCATTGTTGAGGAGAACACCGACGCTTTGTGACAACCAGTTCGCAACAATAATATCGAGTTTGCTGTCTCCATTGACATCGACAGCTACTACAGAAGCCGGGTTAGTGCCAGTTGAATAGATCACTTGAGCAGCAAACGTGCCATTACCATTGTTGAGGAGAACACCGACGTTGTCTGAACCGTAGTTTGTGACAATAATATCGAGTTTGTTGTCTCCATTAACATCGGCTGCTACCACAGTAAAAGGGTTCATGCCAGCTGAATAGGTCACTTGAGCAGCAAACGTACCGTTGGCATTGTTGAGAAGAACACTGACATTGTGTGAGTCGTAATTTGCGACAATAATATCCAGTTTGCTGTCCTCATTGACATCGGCTACTGCCACAGAAATCGGCAATGTGCCACTGGAATAGGTCACTTGTGTCGGAAATCTATCGCATGGAGCTATTACAAAACAAAAATTGTTATTAGCACCAAGATAATTATGAAAAACAATTGCCTTACTAGAGTATTATTTACTTTCACAAACGTTACTCTGCCTATTATAGAGACAACGTGATTAAATAGAATAATGCTCTCAATCTTGAAAAATTTTCTTTTATCTCCCGCAAAGGTAAATACTTTTTCTTACAGTCTACACCGTTCCCATGAGAAAACTACCATTCAACAATCCTGACTAATTCACAAAAGCTCTGTTTCTGATTAATGCATTCTTATTACCGTTTAATCTTTCTCTAGTTTCACAATACTACTATCAATCTTTTACCATTGAAACTAAACTGAATCTTATCTCAGATTCGATCAGATTATCACACAATATGAATACCTGATCAGTCGAATTCGCAAGATTTTTCTTGGACACAATTAGTAGCATGATTGATAAGATGTTTTCAATAAATCATAATCAGAAAACTCTCTTGGAAAGAACTTTATTTGGTTGATAGATGCATTTACATAAGAGATGAGTGATGATATACTGCACTCAACAGTGGATACTTCGATGAAGCTCTGCGAAAATGACGCAATCAAATGACATTAGCCCCGAAACAACTGTTCTTCTTTCCACTGACCTACAATTGCTCACTCGTTCATTCGCTATCTGCACCAAACAATAACTGTATTACCCTTGAGTTCATTCAAATAAACACTCAATAACTGCTACCTCACGAAAACTAGGTAAGAATGAAGAAATCAATGAAGAAAGAAATGAGGAGAAGAAGAAATCGGCAGCTTCTTCTATAGTCAAATTGTCGAACATCTTGACTGAATATCAACTGATTTAAATTTGCGAAAAATCAAATTTGAACTGCCAAAATCATCCAAGATCGCTGCTTCCCTCTTGAACCTATCTCAATTACAGATATATCTCACATCGATCGCTAGAACGTCTTTTACGAATCTAGTTCTATGAATATTCTTGTATATACGCGAACAAAAACGCCAATGTTGTCTTACAAGTTGTTGTCGTCGTTGTTGTTATCGTTGTCTCTGATGTTGTTGTAGTTGTTGTTGCTGTCGTTGATGTTGTTACCGTTGTCGTCGTCGCTGTTGTTGATGTTATTGTCGTTTTAGGGATGCCGATCAAGGCAACAAGCATTGCAGAAATGCCTGCGCCAATAAGTAGAAGAACAAATACAGACAGAATTAAACAAACACACGAATATCGGCAACCAATGTATTTAAAATAGCTAAGTGAAACATTTCTAAAACTTAATAATAAGAAATGCATAACAATTGTTTACTGTTTCTTTTTCTTTCTGTTCGACGTTCTATGATGGGTATCCTGAAAATTCACTGCATTTGACCATAAGCCAATTGTCTGAATTAATTTAAAAGATGAATATAGACAAAAGAAAAAGGAATAAATAGTTCCATTTTCATTTCACTTCTATCGCACTGAATCTAATAAAATTATGTGTAATTATAACTCGAATGCAAAATATAGCCCATTGAGATAAAAATAATTTTATATTTAACTCATAGAAATGGAAATATCATCAGGGATAAGTCATTTTAGTTTCTATCAATAAATACTTATTGACTATTCGTTATCTTTCTAAAATATATTTTTGGAATTACTTCAATCTATCATCTGATTTTTGATCAATCTCTATCCTATTTTCTGAGACAGGTACTTTTAACGGAACCAGGAAAAGTTCAATTACAATATAAAAACTAACTAAGAAAAAGGCTGTTGATAATAGATATAACTTGATAGTATTTTCTTGCGTTTTCAATCCTTATTTAGTACTTCTCTTTTGGACTACTTTTTTCTCGACATAGAATCTATGTAAACGAATAATTATAGAAAAAAGTTAGATTCTTATTACAATGGACAAGTAAAAATATGATCCAATCTACGTACTATTCTAGGTGTGTTGCTTGTACTCATAAATGTTTGTGGAGTATGATGTATCTGTTCCTAGTTAACAATATAATAGCATATGAAAAAAATATCGTTCAATGGCTAGTTAGAATATTTTGCTAGAAAATGAATTCCTTTATAGCAAAACAAGTATTGCAAATTGATCTGGCATGATCGAAAACATCATTCATAATAATTTGAAAAATACTTTATGCAGGATAAAGCTGATGAAAAAATTGATCAAATGCCATTTATATTTGACTGATAACTTTTAAATGAATTAAGATTAAAGTTTCGAGCTTTTGTAGATCTGTAGCTCGTCAACTAGCGATTCTAATCTACTTTTCAAAGTTTAAGATTTCTCCTATCTTCATAGAGCAACAGTCTACTCTTTCAAGATGATCATGGATCACTACTTATTTATAGAATACATTTCATCAATTTTATATGGATCGATGCGCAGGATGAGCCTCTTTCCCATGGTGAAAATCACAGCTCTTTATCTTGTTCCTATGAAAAGTTATTAAAAAAATACTCAACGGACTTCTTTTTTGAAACGAGTATTAGAACTTTTGACCGTTTCTAAAATTCGATGAAGATCTATATACTTCAAATAAG